AGCCACTGCAATGAGAGGCCCCTGCACCGCAGCAAAGAGTGGCCCCTGCTCGCCACAACTAGAGAAAGCCTGTGTGCAGCAATGAAGACCCAATGCAGCCAAAAATAAATTAAATAAATAAATTTATTTTAAAAAATAAAATAAACTATATGGTGAAAAGATAAGAGTGCTATTCAGGGTGATATTTGGTAACTATTAAAAATTAAATATTACTGATTTATATAAATATTGGGATTATAATTTTGTAAAGCATTATGCCCCTGAAAATGTTTAGAATTCAAATTTATAGAACCCTAAAAATAAATGAAAGGGATGTCAAGAAGTTATCTTCTGAGAATTATGAATGAAAGAACAGAGAAATCATGATACAAAATAAATGACCATGGGAACATTTTTAAAGTAGAATTAATTCTCTAAGATTTAAATTTCTAAGATTTAGATATTTGAAAAGGAAAATATATAAAATATCTATATGAGAGAAAATAGCTCTATAAATTTATATATAATATGTGAGTAGAAGCTAAAATTTTAAAAATGACAAAGACAATTGAAATGGTGAGAATCCTATATCCATTCCTTATACCAAGATATATTCCAGATACCAAAAATATTTTATGTAAAAAACTAAACCATAACTTACAAGTGTAAAAATAAAACATCAGTAACATTTTTAAAGTTTGGAGGATGAAAAAATCTAAGCTACACAAAACAGAAAATATGAAATATGTAATTGGCAAATTTAGATTTATAAGATTTATTTTTTTCCAGAAGAAAATAAAAAACAGTGACTGTGGCCTGTACACCAACTAATAAAGACATATATTATTAAGGCAATAAAAACATCTGAATAAACAAAAATGTGGGTAAAGACCTTGAATGGGCAATATCCAGAAAAAATACATATAAATCACAAACAAGAGTATGAAAAACTTCTCTAGTGATCCAATACATGGAATCTAATACTAAATGAAATTGTTTTTCCAATCCTTAATTACTAAAAATTGATATCTGTGAATATCCAGAGTTATAGAAAAGGGAAAAAAGACATTCTGAAGTATTGTTTTGAGTCTGTAAATTAGGAGGGTAAATTTTGCAATAATGTATTACATCAATAATGAATACATCAATGCATAGTACATGGTAAATGTTCAATAAATATTTTTCAACATTCAACAAATATTGATGAATAAACAAACATAATATTGCTTTATTATGGAAACAGTTAGGTATGTATCCAGAGAATGTGTATTGCTCATCCAAGCAAAAGTATATCTCCAGTAATATTGTTTTTTTTTTTTTGCGGTACGCGGGCCTCTCACTGTTGTGGCCTCTCCTGTTGCGGAGCACAGGCTCCAGACGCAGGCTCAGCAGCCGTGGCTCACGAGCCCAGCTGCTCCGTGGCATGTGGGATCTTCCCGGACCGGGGCACGAACCCGTGTCCCCTGCATTGGCAGGCGGACTCTCAACCACTGTGCCACCAGGGAAGCCCACGGGAAGTTTTTTTTAAGTCTCTTGAAATCTTAAAAAAAGATCCACATAGTTTTAGGCAGAATGTCACCTGGACTTGTATAATTCTTTATTTTTCATCTCAGTTTTCAAAGCAAGGTTTAATTCTTCTGTGAGACCTTTGTGAGAAGATGAGAATGACTAGAGTGTGGTGTATAGAGACATGAGTATGAAAATCACTGAAGCTCTCCAGGAGAGACTTCAAGATACAAACAAGAATGATAATTACAAGTGTTAATGAATAAATAAATGGAGATAAAGAAAGACTAGTGGAGGATTTGCAGCTGAGGGCTTTTTACCATTTTGGTACATGAAATAAAAAGAGGAGAAATAGGCCAAAGTATATATTTGTATGTGTATGCATATATATAATTTATAATTTTATCTCTTTTTCATGAAAACCATTGCTCTTTCCCTTTTGCCTTAACAGCTAATATTAAGACTGTAGTTTCCTCCCCTTTCTACCTCTTCACCAGTCTGATTGTTATGGTGTCACCAAGGTAATCTAAAATATGACTCATAACAAAGCAGAACTGAAAAATTATGAGCCTTAGAAGAGCATAAGATAGTCATTTTATAGGACAAGAAAAATCACAGTAAAGAAAGTTCTAAAATAGAGCTAAGAAAAATGTTACACTAACACAAGTCAGAGGAATAGGAGGAAGACAAGAAATCAAGTTTAATCAGAACACCTAAGAGAAGAAAGGATAGAGATAAACGACATGTAGAGAGAATTTTCCCCTCAGGAAACCTAGTCTTCTGATAAGAGTTATATATATATATTTTTTTTTTTTTTCTTTTCTTTACAAGATTAACAATTCCTATTATACCTCCAGGGCCTAAAAATAAACATCATCCAAAACATCTTAATCAAAAATGATTTGGTGTCAAAAAGTAAAGAAGTAACTGTAAAAACCTTACTGTTACAAAACTGTAGTTATAAAACAACTGTAGATATAAAACTACATATATAATATGTATTTTTATGTTAAAATAATTTATGAATTTGAATAAAGTATTCAATATTGGTCAATCTTAAAATATGCTAAAAACATGAAATATTAAGGCAATCAACACACAATTTTTTTTACCATTATATATACAGTCACATATTGTTAGATTTAGCAAAATTTTTTAATTTCCTTTCACGATTTGGCAAATGCATTAAGCATAATGTCCAATTTAATTCACTTCTAGATATTTCTCTGTAATGTGATACAGAAAAACATGTTTTTGTGTTTCTGCACTTTGTAAAACCTGAAGACCAATACATCTTTGAAATACACTATAATAAATACAAGATCTTCTGAATACTATTTTTCTTTAAGTGATGGGTATACTTTTAAAGTAAAGGTAATTTTGAAAAAGTAGAAAAATTTACAATTTATTTAAAGCTGATAAAGTTTAGAACTGTGCTTCAAAAAGTGAATAAAATAATAGGGGTCAAGAAATCCTTAAGTCTTGATACAGGTATTAAAACTAACCATATAATCATCATATTTTCAACTGTCCAGTTCTGAAACTGGATGTTACTAGGATTTTTCACAAGCTATTACACCTCACTTTCCTAATTACTAGAAAAGGCTCTAGACCACATAAATGTAGATCTGGTTCTAAAATTTTAAGTCACCGTATAATTATGTCTATATGTAGATACAAACTAACATAAAAATAGTCATAATATCACACATCAAGGTGACTGCACGTTCTTTCTAAACATACATTAGCTTTTGATTAACTTCCTTGTTTCCAGACAGTGATAGAAATAATATATTCTTACATTGTCATTATTAACTTAAATGAAATAATTTTGTTGTATCTTTCTGCTTTATAGCAAAAAAGTCTTTTTAAAATGTCTTCGCACTTATTACTACAATCTAAACTTTCTGAAACTTTACTAGATAAAATTACTAAGTCTTTCAAAGGATGGAAATTCAATTGCTAGCTTAACAAAACAAATGCATTTAGAATGTAAATAAACTGGAAATACTTGAAATAACCAGGGTAACATCTTTCACATATGTACTAAGGTAGAAATTATGAGTTTTCAATAATTTAGAAAATATTGGCATAAATATACAGAGAATTTAATTACCAAGCTCAAAGTTAGAGAATTAATCCACAACAGATCTCTGCACTTCACTTGTTTCATTCTTTTTTCTCTACTATAATGCATTTCTGGTTCTCTTCTGCATTTCCAAATCCTACATGTCTTTATGGCAAAATATCAAAACTCACCTGCCTCAAGAATTTTAAACTGGCTAAGCATATTTCAAATAATTCTATTTCATCCTGTATCTGCTTTATGTTCCTATTAAAAATTCTAAATAGAGCTTTCCCCAAATATTTATAAATTTTATATACATTGACTACTTGGGTTTTATTTTTATATTATATATATATATATATATATATAGAATCTTCTTCATGAGCAATTTTTTGAAGGCTAATAAGATGTCTCCTATCTTCATTTGATTATTCATTATGCCTAACATAATGTCATATACACAAAAAGTATTCAGCAAATAGTCTACATTTTTCCTGAAAGAAAATAATGAAAATCATAAAACAGTTCTACCAACTTTACTCTCAAGTATTGTTAAACAATTTGATGTATTAAATTGTGAGCTTTAACTATTTTCAGAAAAGAAATGTTGTTCAACTAAATCCAAAAGTATTGAAAATGCTCCTTAGCAAAATCCACAGAATGTACAACACCAAAAATGAATCCTAATGTAAACTGTGGACTTTGGGTAATTATGATGTGTCAATGTAAGTTTGGGGGGTGTAAAAATGTATGACTCTGTATGTTTGTGGTGGAGAATGCTGTACCCCTGTGGGGCAGGTGTATATGGGAACTCTGTATTTTCTGCATAATTTTTCTGTGAATCTAAAACTGCTCTAAAAATTTAGTTACTTAAAAATTGTTACCTAATAATTATAGACATTACCACTATGTTAACAATTATAGCTAAACTAATTGAAAAGTTGTAAAAATAAAAGAAATCTCATATAATTATTTCCCGATAAATAGTAACAGCAGATCTCTTAATGAGATCTCTTAAATCTACCTATTAATAAAATTAAATAACAATTTAAATGCATTGTTTAAAGAATTTCTATGTGGAAGATAATTGACCAGTATAAATACTGAAGTAAAAATTTTGCTCTATATTTGCTTAAATGTAAAGAAATATCTTATATTGATTAATGCCTTTCACATATAGGAAGTTTCTTGTTTAGTATGAAAAAAGTTCAAATAAAAAACTGAAAGAGTGTTGAAGGTTAAAATATGAATTAGAAAGTTAGATATGAAAATGTTCACAATGAACAAATGTTTAGAATAGAATAGAATATTTCTGAGTTCCATGTAAAAATATGATTTCCACACGCTCTTTCCATCGTAATATTGAACTTATTCTTACAGGTAAATCTTAAGCAATTTGAGAAAAAAAAGACTGTAATATAAATTCAAAATTGTGTATAAAACTTACATGCTTTGTGAAATTTTTGTTTCACGTCATGAATAGTAGATTTTTGTGTCACCTGAAAAATAAAATAGAATTATAAGGAAAAAGTGTTCGTTTGCTACATATTTCTTTAAGAAGAAAACATAATTTAATATATTCAAAATGTAAAATAAGTACAAAATAGCCAGCTTGTTTTGTTTAGTTCTTTAGGCACTACTGCTTTGACAACCTTGAAAATTTTCATCAGTATAGCTTTTTCCAAAGTTTTATATTTGTATATAATAATAATAGTATAATCATGTGAGTTCATCCAAATTTTTATCTCAAAATATACTTTTGAATTTTCTCTGCCCATAATATTAAATTTCTGGTTTCCAAATTTATGAGACTATCAATTAAAAGTATGAGTAAATGCAAAAAGAGAAAAAATATATAGTAAAAGAGTTTATCAGAGGAGGCCAGGGATATAAAATTGATTTACATGGACAAAAGAGGGAAATGTTTACTTCAAAATATTATAAGAAAAAAATATATATCCTATCTAAACCCTGTAGTTAGTTATGTTTTTAAAACTTCCATCCAAAAGTATAATAGGTCCATCAAAAATCTATGTTAGATACCTTTTTTTTGGGAATCTTTAAGTATATTATTGTTATTTGATCCTAATCTACTAAAATTACCTCTTTCTAATGTTAGAAAAGTGCATAAGGGAGAAATATTTCTTCATCTAAATAGGAAAATTCATGATAAGAGTTTTATCCAAACACCTCAAGCCATCACAGTACTTTTTGACTTTCTGATTTTGTTCATATCAAACTTGCCAACTGAAATTCCCCTCTGCCTCAGATTCTTCACTGACTTATGAAAAACCCAACAATCCTTCAAAGTCTACATCAAAGACATTTTCATGATCATGCAAGTCAAATTTATTTCCTTTCTCTAAACATGTATAGAATATTTCATACATTATTTTATTTTTTGCTACACTAAAAATCTTCTTATGGCTATTTTGGAGGACAAAATGAAAAAAAAGTGCATAAAGGGATGCCACATAATAATACTCCAGGCAGTTCTTATTAACATTATTATATTATATTTAATATTGTATTATATATCAAAAGCATGATGATGAATACATTTCTTTTACTATATTCCACTCCCTCCCATAACCAAGTGTGTGATATACCATTCAGAATTTTTTTCTTATTTTTTCTATTTATATAGTTTACTAACAAGAAAGTTCTAAGATTTGGGCACTGAAAAATGATATTAATTTCCAGTTATGTTATGCTTAAAAGAACCCTAAATTATTCTGTTACTATGAAATTTTAAATTGTTCATAGCATTGTCCTTTTCTGGAATATGTTAGGAAATATTTGAAAAAACTTTTAGAGAGGGTAATATATATTTATTTGCTTGAACATGTCATATTTCATTTTAATTTTAATTATTGCATTTGATATTTGAATTATATTTTTAAAAGGGGATGATTTGTTTTAACAATGTTCATTGCTTTATCTCACTGTTACTTAATCACGAAGCACTATTATAAGTTGTGTCCTCTGACAGAGATGCCTAAAATCTACGTGCTATACCTACAGTAACAAATACCAGTCCATCAGTCTTTTCAAGGACCATCTAATTTTAAAAAAATAATAATTTTCATAATTAACAGCTCCTCTGTTAGGATTTGCTATATGCTTAGCTTCTGCTTTATGAGGGTACATAATCTTGTGCTTATGCGCTGGCGGTTCCAACAATCTATCAGGTCCTTGAAAACAATGATCTGGTGTATTGCAGTTTGTGTCTCAACATGTAGCACACCACATAGCATATAAGGAAGTGTTAAGTCACTTTTGTTGAAGTCGAAAATAAAGCTGTGAATGCAAAGTCACATGAAAACAGAAGCTCCTTGATCTGATATGAAGTGTTTCACAAGTAGATTACTATCGAAAAGCTGTATGTTTTTTTCCCAAACCAGCATACATTAAATGACAATATTCTAATTTATATATGCATATTTTTTCCTGAATTTACAAACTTTCAAGACTAAGATTATGTTCTCCTGAAAATACCTACATGTGGGAAGTGGGTTGTTATTAAAAGCTTTCTCACAAAGTTTTAAATTTATTTTTTTAAATTACATTGGACTTTCACTTGTTAAAATGTTGATTTTGCATAAATCTTTGAGAACTGACCTTTCTGGAGCAATTTTAGTCAAATACAGCAGAAAAGAATATAATTAACCATTAAATGATTCAGACAGCGTTGCTCAATTAGCCACAAGACTATGCTTGATCAACTCTTTCAGTACTTTAGCTGTACTCAGAACACAAAGAGAGGAAAAGATGATAATTAACAGAGCATATAGGACTTTCTGATTACTAAATTGATGACTCTGTAGCTTCATCAAGAAGTTTATTCGTAATAACTTCTACTTTTTAGCCAGTTTTACCTCTTAAAAAGGACAAACTATCATTACAATAATGTATTCACTTTTATATATCACCATTAATTGTGCAGATGGAAGAAATAAGTATTCCGTCATCTGAAATCCTGAAATTCTCTTCATTAATGTTTCCTTCTAATTAGAGAAAATTAATCTTAAAATGTTAAGTACACAAGGTAAATGATGTTTGAAACAGAAATTTACCTCTGAATTTCAACTGATCGTAGTTGAATTTTGGGTCATCATTACTTTATTCAACACTTAAGTCGATGGACTTAGATAAAGCTTTTCACATTCAAGAGAAATTTAGGATTTGCTTGAATTTGCCCCCTGTGAAGATACTGCAGTATTTCACAAAAAACTTTTTTTTTGCACTATTACTAATTTTTAAAACTATATTTTAGCCACTTTCTCAGGAACTCCTTAAAATGAACAGATATCTCCAGAATACTGTTTATCCTGCTTAGAGAAATGAACATTAAATAGTAAGGAAAAATAACAACTTGAAATTTGTTTGACAGAGTAATTGCAAAGTGCAACCCAAAAATTGTTAATGAACTTTGTAAAAAAAATGTGTTTACTAAAGACACAGAGAGACTGTATAGTATACATAAACCAAAAAGACACATAGAATATATAGTTGCATATACATTACTCAGAATGGACAGGAAGTTTTCTGAGTAAAAATATATTATTTTACTAGTGAATAAGCTTCAGATTGTAACTAAGATACAAATAAGCAATCTATATGAAAACATTCTTATAAATTCAGAACATGTTTGATATTTTATAGAATATCAAGAATTTTTGCTATGAATGAAAGTGACGTGATACTATAGATATGCAGAAATATCAGTTTTAATAAGGTTTAAACATTTTAAATTTAACTGGATTTCTTTACTATTTAAGAAATTAGATAATTGTTTTTTAGCCTATCAATTTTATTTCTTTATATACTACACTGGATTATTTAAAATGAGTTTTTGTTACGTCAAAATAATATATGTACGTATATACACATATGTTTCAATTTTTAGTATCATAACAAATGGTTCTTTTTATGTTGCAATAACACATTTAGTCAATTCATTTTTAATTCAAAAAGAAAATAAACATTAATAAATTCTTTATAATTTTTACCATAGAAATTTTCAAAAATATATTCTTCTGAAATAATATGCTTTTTTTAAAATAAAAAACAAAAGACACTTTATTATTATCCTAAAGTTTCATAACTTGAAAAAATCTATTTGCACATTGTTTTAATATAACATTACCCTGATGATATTGATTTTATTTTATTTATTTAATTTTTAAAACATCTTTATTGGAGTATAGTTGCTTTACAATGTTGTGTTAGTTTTTTCTGTATAACAAAGTGAATCAGCTATATGTATACATATATCCCCATATCCCCTCCCTCTTGCATCTGCCTCCCACCCTTCCTATCCCACTCCTCTAGGTTGTCACAAAGCACAGATCTGATCTCCCTGTGCTATGCAGCTGCTTCCCACTACCTTGAATAATAAGCTTTTAAATAAATACTTTACTCCCCAGTAAATTATGTGTAAATATAAATTTTATTTAGGAGTATAGCCTAGATATTATTTATTTTCTTATTACATATACATATATATCATATAAATATTATAAATATGAGTAGAGAGAAAATATGGTGAAAAATATGACTGAATATCTGATTTTATTATATGTAATTTTTGTATAGTTATATTATTTCAACATTGCAGACATAAATAAAATCTCAGTAACCACTCTAAAACTAATATTTAATTTTTATAATCCTTCAATAAAATTAAATGTCCTTTAGTGACTAGAATATTTATTTATAGTATTTATTGCAAAGCCATTTCATTTCTATTCAATATGAAAATGGTAGTCTTTATATAATATGTATTGAATAAATGGTTATTTCTATACACTTGTTTTCTGTCTTATAACTTGAAATTCTAACATATGGAAAATATGAAAGAAAATTTAACATTGCAACTAGAGTTCGATACCCTATCAAAATAAAGAAAAAAAAGAAATATGTTTTATTAAAATAGAAAATAATTCTGGTTTTATAGAACACACAATTTTCCATGGTGAATGGTCTTTCTGGAATATTTTTTAGGATGTATGATTTATAAACTAGGCGAGAATATTTTAGGACTAGAGAGGATCATGAAGACCACAGAATTAAAAGCATATATTTAAGAATAAAATAAAGTCTGGTGAAATTAATGTGTATGATTACTTCTTAGATGACTTTGATTATGCTTTCCTATTGCAGGTTTGTGAAGTCAAGAAAATAATCCTTGCATTCAGGAAAGTTTAGACTTAATACATGATATTAAAACATGATATTACTGAAATAAGGAAGCTCAAATCCTATTTAAATGAAGTGGTTTCTGTATAAATACTGAAGGACTATTTCAAATAAAATAGTGTTACCTATGGGCAAACTAATAAGTAATCATTAAGAAAACAATCTGTTAAAAACACTATGATAAGTGTTACTTTTTCTCTTCCAATTGTATTCCTTTTATTTCTTTTTCTTCTCTGATTGCCGTGACTAGGACTTCCAAAATTATGTTAAATTAGAGTGGCAAGAGTGGACATCCTTG